GAGGAGGAGGATCTTACAAGAACCTATGATCCAGGAGTGGGCTTCAAAAGTTTTAGCAAGAGGTTCTCTACCTAGTTGCTCGTTGGCCATGGCCATGGTGGCCGTGGCCTAGTCGGCCTCCTGCACTATAGTGGGGGGGGGGCATTTTTGCCCTCCCTGGGCTCCAGAGGCTTTCCTTGAGACTCCGGGAGGATGAAAACGGCCTCCCCAGGCTTCCGAGGCCCTCTGGGGGCTGGAAACAAGCCCGTTTCTGGCCTTCCTGAACTTCCGGTAGGTTTGTTTTTTGCCCTCCCTGAGCCTCCTGCACTTACCTGCATCCAAAATGGGCTGTGTAGGGACTCCTGGCAGTCCAGGGAGGAGTGGGTGGAACCAGCCAGGAGTGAGATTTGGGGGTTCTCCAAACTGCACAGAATCTTAGCTAGAGGTTCTCCCGAACCCCCAGGAGCCCACCCCTGCTATCACCCCTCTAAAAATTTTCTTCTACCAGTATGATGAGCTTTTGCTGCTGACTTCCTAACCCGAAAAATGTGGCCATTGCGGTTTCTTTCTCAAACCCTTTAGTCCATTTCAGGAAATTCCAGTTAATTATACACAAAAGGGTGTGTGTGGGAGTAGGGGCAGAAGTTTAAGAGAGTCGAGGCATTCTTCGTCATTAGGAAGGTGGAGAGAGAGAGAGAGAGAAAGAGAGAGAGAGAGAGAGAGAGAGGGAGAGAGAGAGCCTCCGAGCCCTTTATGTGTCAAGGAAATTTAACTCTCTTTGGCTGAAGGCCAGGAACTTTTCATGTGGATTGGAAACCTCAGCCAGGAGATTCTCGGGTGCTAGAAAGAACCTTTAATTTAAACCAGGTGCCTCTGGAAGGGAAAAAAAAACCCACTTCATGAAAGGCAAAAACTTGGTCGCGTTCCCTCAAAACAAAAGGGCAATCACGGACATTTTGACTGAAATATCCCCTTTTTGGAATGCAGCCTTCATGCTTTAAACAAACTCGCTGAAACCTCATCCATTTGGACAATCGGCATGAAACTGAGACTACCCATATTTCTGGAGCCGGAGCAAATGCTTGAAGAGGATGCCAGTTATGTCCACCCAAAGTTGCAGAACCCTTACAGTATGGAAAGCAGCACACAGGCTGGCAGGGAACAAAGGAAAGTGGGGTTTGTGGCTGTCAGCCTTCACAGTGGCCTTCCTCTGTTGCTGCTGTCTGCAAAAGTTAACACTGCGAGTGCCATGGGAAGCGAGGAGGCCCATGGAAGATGGCAAGGAACACCCATTCGTACTGCCCATTTGCTGGCTGATAGGAGCACAGTGGGGACAGAGGTGTTGGGGATGTCTGTTGCTGCTGTCACATCTTTGCCTACAATCCTTATTCACTTCATCTTCTAGAATGGGCTAATAGAGAATGGCTGCCCAGGGGTGATGCTCCCTACATACAAAGTCCTAGAGATTTAAAGAATGCACAAGGTAGTCTCTGTATATAAAAACGGATTCCTCTGTGAAGGGTCTGAGCTTGGTTATTTTCTTGCAGATATTTCATTACCCAAACTAAGTAACATCACCAGAACTGCACAGTACAGTAAGGAAACTTCTGCAAGAAAACAACCAAGCTCAGACAGCACCAAGGACCCCTGCCCCATTTTAACCCTGAGTTACAAATATTATCTTTCACTGGCATCGTTCTGTATTTTAATGAGGTTGGCTCCATGTGATCTCCTGCAGAAAATTCAAGGTTAACTCTAGGCTAGGGCGCCCTGGAGCCGCATGTGGCTCTTTCATCCCTCTGCTGTGGCTCTTTGTCACTGGTCAGCTCCACAATTGATAGGGCTTTCGGTTAGGACAGGTAGAGGAAAAAGGACGCCGGTTTAGGAGGAGACTCTATGGTGGGGGAACCAGACATCCAGTCGGCTTCAGAACTGAATGTGGGAGCTTCTGATTAGGACCTTTAGAAACATTATACAGATCTCTGGTCTGGGCTTTACAGCATAATTGTATCCTGTAACATATAGCATCCTTTGACTGGCAGCAAGATTGGGGGAATCTCCCTTCCATTGCTACTTGGAAAGACATCTGGAGCTTTATTTTGGTAAATCAAGTCCTCAGTCATCAAATAATGTCCTTTCACAAGTAAACATCATGGAGCACAAATCATTGGAAAATCCTCTACCATAACTAAAAGGAACAGTAATGATGTATTGCAACTGATTAGATCAGTGGCCCCCAACCTTTTGGGCTTCAGGGAGAGAGTTTTTTCTGTGGACCAAAGGGGATGTGGTTTCACATGCCACCAATGGGGAATCGCTTGTTTAGGCAGACTAGTTGCTGGAACAGGGGTGGGGAGCCTTGAATTAGATTAGAATTTTAAAAAATCCTGTCCTAGGAAGACTGCCCATCCCCAGTGCCAGGCATACAAAAAAAAAAAAAAGATCCACCAGGACTCCTTCTCTGTTCCCCATTCTGAGTAGTGAGGCCAAAACTCTAGTCTCTCCCCACCACCACCATTTGGAGGGTTTGGACATTTTGAGGGGTAACACTACTTAAATGCCGCTTAAAGCCTCCCCTTCATTCCTTGTCAGAATGGTCTGGTCCAGGGGTGGGATTCTATCTGGTTCAGACTGGTTGTGTGTGAATCGGGAGCTTCAACAATCAGCTGGGAGCGAAGTGGTTCGCTCCAATGATCAGGTGGGCCTGCCTGCCCGACCCTGAGCTTTACTAACCTATATCTTCTCAGCTAATACGCACAGCAGAGTGGCACCCCGGTTGTGTTACTCCTTAGCAGTAACATGGAAGTTAAGTTTCCTTAAAACTATGCATGCATGCAGTGTGCGAAGTGCACAATCACCACCAGCAGGATCCCACCACTGGTCTGGTCCATCCACTTTGGAAGGCAGCTCCAAATATGGCACACAAAGTCTGCCCCTGAGCTAGCAAACATGGACTCATGCCTGATCCTTTTACTTTTAAATAAGTGGGGCTAAACTGGACACCCAGTTCTTCTGACTCTCTCTGTTTCCTAATACATCCGCCTCTGCAGTTTTCCAAGGATGTTTTTAATATTTTTATTTCATCATAGATATGTGGGTCATTACAGGAGGAACAGAACATGTGCCGTACATAAAAACACTATCTTTTCATTAATAATCTTTGCAGGTTAAAAACTACTTCTGGAGAAGGATATGAGTAGAGCATAGAAGGAAACTATCTGATGCAAAATTAGAGCTTTCCTAATTTCCCCAACAATGCCCTCATCTTCCATCTTCCACCTCCCCATGTCCTTTCAGCAACTCCTGAGCTTTTTACATTAAAAGGAGAGGAGAATGACTCCGAGGCCACTTGTGCAGGAGACCCTGAAAATTCCAACTTTGCACACCAGAAATAACAGAACACAGAAACTCTTGGCTGGGATTTATAAAACACTCCATAAATCTCCAATGAGATTATTTATAGTGTCTTTAATGTCTTTCAGTAGCTGAAAGAAAGTACTCCAAATGCCGGGGAAATGTTCGCTGAAATCTATCATGTAATTCTGAATGAGGCAAAATAAATAATAGGCCTCTGTTGCATTTTTTTGCTCTTTGTATGTATGGCATAATTGGTGTGCATGAGGATTGCAGTGCTGAGAATTTTCAGCCAAGGCTGCCATTGGTTGCACTCTGGGAATTGCAGTTCCCAACACATCTGGAGGGGCCTTGGGAGAGAAAGGTTGCCAGAATAAAGGTAGAAACATTAAAAAGTAGAGCTAAGCAACTGAAACTCTATACAATTTGCGCTAGGCACAATATTATGCTAAAACTTTCTACATTTGTTCCGTTTAGCTACATGTAATAACTAAGAAATATGAACACGATAATCTATTTCTCAGTTGTTGTCAGCAGAAAATTGCTTTTTGTTTTAGAATTAATTTCTGACTTACCCAGCTAAAACTATAAAAAAATCCAGACGATTCCACGTGTCTCCCAGGTAGCACTTCTTCCCAAAAATCCCCAAGGCAATCATCTTGATTATCATTTCCACCGCAAAGAAGGCAAAGATAAAATCATCAAAGCTCTGGAAGATAAAAAGCAGGATCTGTGACAAAAATCTGAGCTGGTGGCAGTTCATTTTTCAAGAAATCTGACCTGATCTGTTCTAAAGCCATCCTCTATCCCAATCTTATATTCTCCTGAAGACAACTCTTCCCACATTTCTAAGTTTAAAAGAATGATGGGCAAGGAAATTATTTCATCCCCAGATGTGGGACGAAAGTGCACAGCTATATGAGCTGGATGTTTCCTCATCTCTAGTGCCAAAATGAGTAAAGAAAGCCTATTCAAGTTGGCTATGAGTCTCCAACCACAACCAGATTTATTTAGGTAGGAAGCCAAGATCTGAACAAACTAGACTATGAATTACCCTCATGCGACAGATTGTTTGCCCCACTTTGTGTCAAAAACAACTCCCCTACATTTTAACAGTGGGAATCGGTGGTTTTGCTTCTTCTTTAGATCCAAATTTCAGTTCTCAGTGGATCTCCCACGCTGAATAATGTTTGGATTTGAGGTGAATTCCCTATCCCAAATAAATGTTTGGCTCGTGTATTTGAATTCCTGCTAGGTTCTGCAGTAAATTTAGCATTTACTGCTTTCCTTGGATATATGTCATGAAAACTATGCATATGGATAGCTCAAGAATGATAGGTAAGAAATCCATCTTGATTCTTTACCCATATGGCAAACAGACCAGAGAGAGAATTGCATCTAACAGAATTTCCCTATATCCATGGAATGTAGGATACAGGATACAAGGTCTTAAATCAGGTGAAAACATTTGCCATGAGAGCTATTCTCACTCAGACTTGCATATCATGTTCCTTATTTCTTTATTTGTGAACATTTATATGACCTACCAACTCACTTTCAGTGATTCCGGGTAGCTTAATAAAAAACAATAAAAAGCAATAATCCCCATCCCCACCCCTGATGACAACAATCAGTCCACTCAAATAAGCCATTTGATGGGCTCCATCCAACTCTGGGTTCTTTGTAGCAAACCCTCAGGACCTTGGAAAAGACTGTGAAAGTGTGGGCCAATTTTATCTCCTCAGGGATGAGGTTCCATAGGGAGGGAGTCACCATGGAGAAGGCCTTACTTCTTCATCGTGCTAGTTAGATCATTAGGAGAGGGAACCTGTAGCATTTCCTGTCTCCCTCCTCTGGTGGGTCAGGTAGATGTGGACCAGGAAAGACAGTCCTTTAAAAAAACCTGGTCCCAAGCCATGTAGGGCTTTGAAGGTGACAAACAGCACCTTGAATTGGACCCAGAAACAAATTGGCAGCCAATGTAAATCCAGGAGGAGAGATGACACATATGCACATTTAGGTAAAGGTAAAGGTTCCCCTCGCACATATGTGCTAGTCATTCCTGACTCTAGGGGGCAGTGCTGATCTCTGTTTCAAAGCCGAAGAGCCAGCACTGTCCAAAGACATCTCTGTGGTCATGTGACTAAACGACTAAATGCTGAAGGCACTCGGAACTCTATTACTTTCCCATCAAAGGGAGGGGGGAGTCCTATTTTTCTACTTGCATTTTTACATGCTTTCAAACTGCTAGGTTGGCAGAAGCTGGGACAAGTAATGGGAGCTCACTCAGTTAAGCAGTGGTAGGAATTCGAACTGCCAACCTTTGTGATCGACAAGCTCAGCATCTTAGCCATTGAGCCACTGCGTCCCTTGAACATTTAGGCCTGCACAAAACTATGTGGGCCACTGTCTTTTGGACCAACTGAAGCTTCCAGATACTTTTCAAAGGCAGACCCTTATAGAGTCCTAGTTGGTCTTTTAAACACACGAAAAAGAAAGCTTGAGATGTTAGAGATTGAACCTGAAACCTGATGCAGTCAAAACATGAACGTCTTTTTCCACTACGCTAAGGCCTCTCTCTTGTATTACATTTTGACAAACTGGCATAAAGATAAAACAAATTTTACCTGGAGGATCTTGCAGCGTGGAGAGTCGCAGCCCATGTCTTCACAAGGGTGGAACATGCCCAAAGTGACACAGTTCAGGAGAATTACCAGCATACTCATTCTTTCAAACCAGGTGCAAAAGGGGTCAGTCAAGGAAAAGACTAAGTTTAGAAAATTAAACACATATTCTAAGACATGGAGGCATTTTTATACCTATTTTAGTTAAGGCACTATAGAAAAGAGTAGCCAAAACATATGTGAATTTGAGTGCCAGTGTCTTCCTTTAACAGTAACAGTCCTACTTCTTTGTAATTTACCTTCTCCAAAAAAGATAATCACGTATCTTGCTCCTACCAACCAGTCACATCCATAGGCACCCCAGTTCATACTGCAGTTTTGTAAAACACACATTTTGCCTGCTTCCTATCTTTGGCCAGCAAATCCTGGGGAAGATATAAGGGTTAAATGAAAAATAATGCCTCCACCTCTATAACTTTACATTTGGAATTTTTAAATACATGAATTAGGAAATTAATCTTTGAAATGAGTTCCTTTGTTACTTGTATTTACTTCTCCATATATTGCCATCATTTACTGCTCTCCTGCAATAAATTGACAATTGGCAGGCTAAATAATGCCACCATAAAAGAACCCCATGCTTTATCTCTTCAACTATGTCAACCTTTCCATTTTTTCTTCTGAGTCAAACACAAATGTATTTCTTCAATTTTGGGAAAAGGTGGAAGCACCAAGTTGGGACTATATGATAGATGAAGTTAAAAGGTGACAATCAACCTCAGGTTAGTTTCTTGGGTAGCTCATGACATATGAAGACAAGCAATGTGATGTTATATCAAAATTTCCTTCTTGTGCTTCCAAACTCTGCTTAAATATTGTTTAAAACTTTTGGATGTTTCAAAATAGTGCTCTGAGTTGATAGTAGTGCCAGGTTCAAGAAAATCCATTTGACTAACAACTTTTGCAACTCCGAAATCAAGAATTATCCTGCAGAGGTCTGAATTTTAATCCCCACCCCCAAGGTTTCAAGATAATATTCATAGACTGACACTTCATTTATGCTTAATAATGATGAGCCTGTTTCACTGCCTATTGTGATCTGTGGAAGAAATTTCTCACCTTCATTTCTGTAGTGTGACAACCATTACTGCAAAATGTCAACTCTTAAAAGTTTTATTTGAAATATAAAACTTTTCTATTTCTCTCTACCCTCAGCATTCAAGGAACTCTTCTTGCACAGATCTTCTGATATTGAACAGTAATAATGAAGATCATTAATGTGATCAATAAAGTGACCCCACACATTCTTGTGAAAAGCAAAGCTTGACAGCAATTCCACTTTGAGTAATCAGTTGATTGTTCTCAATTAGTTCATCAACCTATCTCATAGGAAACTCATTAGTTGATATCATAGGTCACCTATTTTGTCCTTGATCATAGAAAATCAGCTCTTCCTGGTTTATCATCATGACATTTTTTGGGTCCAGTGATCCACAATATTAATATCAACATAGTCATCACCATAAACATCCTGCATTGAGTGGCACTTTTCAGTTGGAAGCAGACTTTCAATAGCCAAAAACTGAATCATGGCACACCATGCTGATTAGTATTCATCCTAGTGCTTTGATTTCATGAACAATAACATGAATGTATTCTCAGAGCAACTTCCTGAAGTATAATAACAGATGGTAAAGAACATGTCAAGAACAAGTTTTGTGCAGTGGTTAAGGCATCAGGCTAAATACCAGGAGATTGTGAATTCTAGTTCCACTTTGGCCAGTTGGGTGACTTTGCGCCCGATACTTTTTCTCAATTCCAAGAAGGAGGCAATGGCAAACCACTTCTGACAAATCTTGCCAAGAAAACTCCAGGGACTTGACAAGGCAGTTCTCCAAGTATCAGATAATATTGAATGAGAGAATTAAAAAAATGAAAAGAACATGCCAAGGCTTCTAGTGTGTTAATACTGCATCTGTTGGTTACTTATATTATTGAAGACATCATCTTTCATTTAACCCAATGTAAATTTCAACTACATTTGTACCAAAGAACCTTCACTCAGTGGGCAGGTGGGAGAACAACAAAATGCATATGGATGTCATCATACAGATGTAACTTACATGCATGAATCAAATATGGGGATGCAAGCCCATAACCAAAGCATTTGCACATATGTCATCACGATGGACTGCTGCTTCTGCTAATGGCGATTTCTGCTTCTCTCTTTTGTAATATAGATAATAATGGCTTCAACATAACTAGGGTCTAGTAATATATATATATAGCAATATATACTATTGGTTCTTCTGCTCTCTGTACACCATATTTATACCTTATCCATCACTTTCTTCTCCCTCTCTCCTCTGCCTCCCTACCCCCTTTCTTCCCTCTGTCACCCTTCTCTTCTCTACTTCACCTTCCTCTCCCCTTCTCCTCTCTCCCCTTTCCACTCCTTCTTTCTCTTTTCCTCTTCCCCTCCCTGCCCTCTCTCCTATCCCTCTCTTCTTCCCTTACCTCTCCCCTCTACTTCACACTCTTCATCTCATTTACTTGATGCATTTCAGCTTCTGAGTGAGCTTCATTTTATGTTGATGGTATTTATAATTCCTTTTCAAAATACATATTTAATTTTAACATATATTTTCCTCCTTTTTAAAAAAAGAGAAGAAAAAAGTATACCTATATAGTCATTGTGCTTTTAAACCACCACCACCCCACCTCATTTTGGCCGAGAGGTAGACCTGGTTACAATTCCCAGCTATTTTCATCATTATATTTATATAATTATGCATCCTTACATCTCCAACCTTGTGATTCCGTCTTTAAATCTCAATAGTTTCCCATTGTACGTATATTTCATGTTCCCTCACCATTTTTCCATATTTTGGTTTAGATTACCCTTAATTGTCTAAAATGGCAATCCTTACTGTTCAATGTATATTACAATTCCCTTAATCTACTATCTAGAATAACAAGCGGTACACATCTCACTTTATTCATCATATTAGAAGTCCTATATATGTCCATGTTTCATATATTTTAACCCATATTTAATTGTCCTTCTATTGCCAGATTCAATCAATTAGCAACTCAGTTTAATTATCATGTATAAAAGTGAATCACAAACCTCTGCTTTACAATCTCCCCATATCAATTTCATATTGTCCATATTCCATATATTTAACATTTATTTCATTATCTGCATTATTATAATCAATGTTAGAAATTTAATTTTATTGTCATATTTAGGAGTAAACCCTTTATCTCAGCTTTGTATTTTCCCATATATCAATTTCTAGTTATCTGATTTTTTTCCTAATAAGTCTTTTGTCCCGCTTCTCTATTCCTGCCTTCTCTCTTTTCTTTGTTTTGACTTCTGCACCTTCTTCAATTTTCCTCAAACCACCATCAAAGAAATCTTTTATATTTTCCTTTGTTGGGGCGTAACCTTCTTCTTCAATTTTCCTTGTGCCACTGTCAACCTCCGAAACATCTTTTGTCTGCTTTTTATTTCCTTTTGTTGGGACACATCCCTCCTTTTCAATTTTCCCTATACCACTGCCAAACCCAATAGAGTTTTTTGTCTGCTTTTTATTTCCAACTGTTTCTACCTCTTCATTATCTCCCCCCACACCATTTCTTCCTTCTCTTCTTCTTTAAATACCTGCTTCTTTGAATTCAGAATTCTGTTTAGGCTTGATTTTAATAATTTATGCATATTTTTTATAATTTCACATAGTTCTTCAAATTCCCATCTTTCCATAATGTCTAGTTTCGAAGTTATAGTTAATTATACATTTCTTATTTCAAGGTTCTTGTCCACCTTACATTTAGCTAATTCAACTGCAGTGGAGAAGAACGACGGGAGCCATCTTGGTCTTTTGTTCTTCCTTAATGTCCAGTTCCAAAATTGCAGTTAGTTATACAGATCTTATTTCAAAATTCTGGTCCACTTTAAATTTAGCTAATTCAACTGATATGAAAACGGAAGAGAAGCTGGAGCCATCTTGCTCTTTTGCAGAAAAAAAGAGAATAAAACTTCATATTTTCCCAGCTGTTGACCCTGTTATTATTTTTCCCCTTGCCACTCTCCACCTCTCGTTGGCCATAGTTGCTCAAAATATATCAATTGGAACACACTTGCATACAGCCAAACCCGGGTATGTTTCTTTCGCCTCCTACTTTTCCAAGTTCTGATTTATGGCAGTTGGTTAATTAAAACCTTCAGTGCAGGCAAGATTAAGTTATCAGTTGTCAGTGAGAAAATAGTGCTTTTTTCTTGATCTTTCTCCGTTGTTGCATTCCACCTCTTATTAATTGGAGTGGCTTAAGAAAAATTAGTTCAGACGAAGTAATTCCCTTGGAATGTTTGGTTTCTATTTCAAATCCAAAACCAAATTTAGAGTTTGTGTTTGAGTGGGTTTGTCACTTCTCTGCTTTCTCCCTTTCTGTCCGAATTGTTTCAAACAAATGGCTTTTTTGGGGGGGCTAGTGTTTCAACCGTCCATTTTCCTTTCTTTTTTTCATTTTGCCAAAATCCAGATCTGTCTATTAATATTATTTGTACTCTCAAGATTCTTTGCCTTTTCCAAGTTTTGATTTATGACTGTGGGTTAAATGAATTTTCTTACGAATCTTTCATCTAACCCTCACACTCCTGTTCAGTTGTTTTGGCTGGAAATCAGCTTCTTGTGCAGCCATGTTGCCATGCTGCTGCTTCTATTCCGATTTAGAGGGCAAATCTCTGACCTGCGAGGGACATATTGCCTCCCCTTGGGTCTGATGAGATGCTGCCTCTTCTTTGCCCCCACTCCAGGGGGGGGGTTTCTGATCCAAAAAAGGCTCCCCGGAGTTGGTTTGTCAGGCAGGGTTCACGTGAGGCTCTTCAGAGCTTACATCCCCATGTCTGCCCAGCTGGAGAACTTCCTTTTGAATCGGGTCTAGTATAATTTTTGATAGTTTTCTGTACTTCGTAACACTTTGTAAGTTTATTTATAAAAGAAGTTATATCATCAAGTTTATACCAAGGGCTATTACATTTCTACTGGTTTTCATATAAAAACTATGTTCTGTGATTTGAAAATTTGGAAACTAGCCTGTTA